TTGCTCAGTCACACGAAAATTGTTGTATGATCGCGAAAGCTGAATAACGATCATTAGTTATTTCAGCTGGCTACAAGAAACCAGCGAATTACATAAGAGAGCGGATGCGCAAGATTCATCGAGCAGAAGTTTATGCAATGAGGTTTTGTCCCTCATGAACTCCCTCACTTTCATGCCAACTTTTCAGAATTCAAAACGCAGCACGGATGGTATAAGATCGAGAGCAACCGTGCTATGGGGCTTTCCCAGCTTTCCTCTAAAAATTAAGTACCGGGAATAGCTGGAATTGCCCCACTGCACGCTGAACAATTCCTGAGAAAGCAATCAATTGACCAATTTGAAACTTACTAAGAAAGCAATGAGATCTTGAACTTGCCCAGTGTGCTTCAATTCTACCTGTACAAAAACCATGCTGGAAAAATAGAATATTAGTTCAGCAAAACATCAGGAACTGCGATACTGAACTGAATCGACATCGTCTTAAAGTTTGATAAGGAGAGAATTGCACTGGCTGAATATGAATGCTGAAGATAAAAACAAATGGGTGTATCAGTAAAAAAAAGCATGAGGAACACAGTTTCGAGAAAAATGTTGGGAAAAGAAAGTGATAAACAGCGCAATAGAGACCACATGCAATGAATCAAAAAGTCAATGACAGTTATCGCAAGAAAGCCGGATCATTGCCACTTTGCCCAGGGCGCAAAAGGAAGTCCGCTTGGAGGAGTGTGGCCAAAAACAGCAATCAACAAATCAATCAGAAAAAATAAAAAGGCTATCTTTCCATAAACAACCCGCTAAGCGGGTGTGTGCCTGTCCATCTGTGTGCGAAAATTCATAACTTCACTCATGTTAGACGGAGAGCGCTCAAACTTGGAGGGAATGAAGGTGAAGGATGGAAGTGATAGTGGGTGGCGGGAAATCGATAAGCAACTGATAACAGCTAATAACGGGCGTCGGAATGCAAGAGTGACTGATATCGCCACGCTATTCGCATTGACAGCGTTCGCCACGCTATTCGCGTTGAGAGCGTTGTACAGTGTTTTATGTGGAGCGGAACGGGGACCAAGCAAGTCGATGATGGAAAGTGATAGCAACTGATAAGAGCGGGTATGGGGCGTCGAGTGCGAATACACCTATTTCGTTGCGGGTTCCGCGATGGCAGTGGAACCTTGGCTCTCACAAGTAGTATGGGAAGTCGGACATAGATGGATGGTGGGTGAGAAATGATTTTAACTATTCGATAAGGCTGGATAGGAAGTCAAATGCGAGTACCCCAATTTCATTTGCGGACAAAAGACCGGTCGTTCGCGGAATTCGAACTGATTTCATAGGTGCACGTGGGCGATGTATGATAGAGACATGTGGTGTCGAGCCTGTAAAACTGATAGATAATTATCAAGCAATGGACCTGATAAAGACTGATAGGTAGGCGTCACTGAAAGCGCACACCAAGTAGAGGTAGTGTGAGTGAAAAGATCGGCTTATGGACCGTCTAACGCACTTTTAAAGCGCCTAACAATTGGATAGGTGTAACAGTGTGACCTGCAGTTTGTTCCAGTTTTCACAAGATGCCTATCGCGATGCTATTACTAAGCGTGCCATAGAATTGTAGCATATAGAAAAATAGGTTGAATGGTGACAACAGCTGTCATATCGGTCCATGTTAGCACCTGCGCTATTTGCGCCATCGGCCGGCCTGAACAATACCGGATCTGTTTGGGAAAGATAAAAACCTGACTGGATCACTCAATGCTCTTTGGACTAGCCCGCAATGGAAGACCGAATACGCTTTCAGAAGCCTTCAGGAATAATAGTTGAACGCTACAAGCCATAAACGCTACAGTTACCCTTCAGAACGACAACAATCGCTATCTATTATCGAGAGCGCAGCGACAAATACCATCCGCGAGAGCGCTAATGGGGTGCTGAATGACCGCGCCTGCGCTAGGAAATGTTGATGCGGCCATCGATAAGGGTTTGCTTGCCAAGCTGCATGCGTACTCCGCCAAAGGGCCATTTCTATGAGAGGTTATCCGCTTCAGTTCTATATTGCATTTTCGAGTACGGTTGAAACAATTAGTTAGATGCAATAATGCGAAAAAATAAGCAACAGAAATGGAGCATATGAGTGGAAAATTTAGGTCGTATTTGTTTGACTAGGGCTAATCCGGTTATGGAAATGTCCCTCTCGCCACTGCACTATATACACATCCAGAAGGCAGTATGAAGTCAATCTAGGAATGAAATTTTCTCATAGTAAGCGGCAGCTTAATGGCGTAAGCTAGGCTGAAGAGGACGTTCGGGACGCTTTTCCGTTCTCTCGAGTCATTGCTTGGTTTAAAGACTTGATGTTCATATCATTTTCAGAAGCAGCGAACGTAAAGGCAGTGGACTAAGCCCATAACGAATAACCATAACCATAATATCTACAGCCGACTACGAAGTATCCCAAAATAGCGAACACAGATAGAAACTGCAAGCTCCTAAAGTCGAAGCTGACCGGAAATCGGAAGCGGATTCACTGAAGAGTTGAGAAAGAAAAAGCAAAATCTTACTACGATATGCTTGAATGCTCACAGAGAACACTTACTAGAGCACTGGTCGTTGGCCGATGTTTGTAAAGGCTGCAATCGATACGTTCCACCATGCTGATAAGCAACCACAAGGCAATTTACCGCAGGAGCTTCCATCAACTTTGGACACTTTTGCATTTTTGAGAAATACAATTGCAGAATAAACGGTCGCTGTTGCATTGAAAAGGCGGAAGTCCTCGATCAGCAACTTATGGAGTAAACTTTGCTTTTAGCATCAACTCTCAGCCGGTGTTCAATAGTAGTGGCGTGAAATAACTTGGCAATGGGTTACCTGCACACCGCGCGCCATGGCTGACGGTACATTTAAGAGGTGGCATTTCACGAACCAAAAGTCGTTTAGTTCTAAGACCATGGGAAAGCTAATGAAACGTTGAAGTTACCGCTTCAACTTACGATTAGCAATAACGAGGAACTGGAAGGAAACAACCTTCGAACGGTAAATAAGGAATAATCGGACCAACAAAAGTTTAAGAAGGAACTCAAAATCACTAAAGCGCATGGACTACAAGTGTGAAGAGTCCATCGGTCACTGCTGAGATAGTGTGCAAAACTAAGATTCCGCTAGTGATCAGCCAAGGTCTCATCCAGTACAGGGGGGCATTGTGAGCAACGTTCAAGTGCCATGCCCTCATTACGAATACGACGACCAACCCCCACCCCCTAGACTGCCTTCACTCCCCCTGGCTCACGGGGTCCCGTACTTCGAGAAACCTGTGCGCCAGGGGGAGTGTAGGCAGTCTAGGGGGGGGGGGTGAGGGCAGCCACTTGATGCCCCCCTTACTGGATGAGACCCTCGAACACAAATAGTGTCACCAATAACCCCCGAAAATTTGGCAGCGCAAGCGACCTGCTCTTCCTAAGCTTTCGCAGCATTTCCCAACTTCGAGTCGTAACAAGCAAAAGTCTCTCAAAAGTTTCAGTGGAACCTCAAAAAAGGGAAACCCAAACGTTTCGCCGCTGATTCATGTTGGGAGGATGCGCCACCATCCTACCAACATGGAATGCCCTATACAACAAATTGCGAGGGCCAGTCGAGGGCTTGGGAGTACAATTCAGTGTTTTGATATCCCGCACAAGCCTAGTACCAAGTCGATCTCAGAACGATGGAAGGCTTGTTGACCTGGGCGAGATTCGATCACAAGATCTGACCCCGACCGTGCATGGAACCGTGCTGCGCTATTTGCCACTACACCGTACCCGTTCTGCTTTCCGTAATTCTGGCGCAGTGTTTCAAAAGACGTGAACTTCCCTTTCCGCCTGCAGTCGATTATGCCAAATATATTTCCCCAGCACGACGTTGGCTCGTTTTTGTGCACAAGGACACCACGGAAAATCACTAGGGGGGGGGGGGGGAGGGACAGAGCACGTGCAGCAAACCTCGACATAAGAACCACACCTACTGGGCTCGCGCTACGAATTTTTTCTTCAGTTTTTCAAAAAGAAAAATTTAAAAAGAAAATCCAAGAAAAGTACAAGAGAAATCGAAGGACTATGGAAGACAAATGTAGTAATGTACCCTCCCTTTCAAAAAACGAGAAGAGCGTCGGGTGCAGACCATACACCACAAGTGACGACGGCCTCCAAGTAAATCTGGTTAGTAGTGGTTCATAGTGATAGCTGATTTTGGTAAATGATAGTTGTAATTAGTGACAACTGATAGAATACAACTGCAACAGGCTAATCATTTCATTGGCAGAAAACATTTACATTTTGTGGAGGCCGTCGTCACTTGTGGTGTATGGTCTGCACCCGACGCTCTTCCGTTTTTTTGAAAGGAGTCTACAAAGAAAGGTCCAAGGATGTAGGTATGCTATGGGGGGAAGGCTATCTCAGGCTTGTAGAGTTAAGGAAAACATGGAGGGATGCGACTGAGGTTGTGCAATAGATTTCGGATGAAACAGAACATACAAGCGAGAGCATGTGAGACAGCGCCTCTAGTCGGCTGCGACCTAACAAACCTCGACAAAATTGAGATAATATGATAAGAAAAATCCGTAACGATAGATACGATTGTTGTGGATCATTACCAAAACTCTGTCCAGCAGTATTACTTTTAACATTTATCAACATAATCAAACTCATACTGATAAAAATATCGCAACACTAACAATCGATACAATATACAAACAACATAATCACAGAAGATTATCACAAACAATGTCCTAACTATTAATTTCTATCGATTAGGCAAGCATAAAAGGAACATCCTTGAGTACAATATCAGTAATACTAAAGGCCAGAGAAAGATATCACAGAAAATACAGGCAATCGATATTTCACATCACATTATTCTGAGAGCTGTTCAAAAAATAGAAAAAGTTTAAAAACTAGAAAGAACAGCAGCAGGCCTCGAAGTTTCTCAACCAATATTTACTACAACACTGAGCGCTTATTTTTTCTCAACTATACGCTATTTTTCACGTCTTCGGTGACCTCTGACAAATGCTGAGCGGTTTCTAGGCATTCTTGCAGCGAGTATGGACGGAAGGCTTGTCCAGCACCTTGGATAGAACTTGGACTGGAATTCAACCCAATGTAGTCGGAGCGCATGTAGAAAATGCCGACAATCCTTCCATAATCACTAGGATCGATAACGACATCACGGCAAAGAAGAAGAATACCTATGATAAAAAAGGAAATGTAGAAAGAAATTTATTATTGGCCAAATAGGGAAACACCAATGCGCCTAGTTCGAACGAGGCTAGAATTTAGGACATTCAATAAAAGGCCCATCATAGCAGTAAAGCTTCCAGCGCTTCATATCAGTAGATGTCAACATTTTGTAGAATGTATTGTAAGGGGTGCGGGTTTTAGTTCATGAATTCCTACTAGCGTTAGCGTGGTTTTTTTGCGCCAACATGCAGCGTCCGTCACTGATTCCTTTTTTGTACTATTAGACATATTTGTTGCACGGGAATTACATTCAGACACCTGTCAAACTGGCTTGAACGCGCAATAGAACCATTTTCCTAATTTTCAGGCTTGGTTGTAAGCCTCAGCAGGATCGCGGTTACTCAGGAGTACAGAGAATGGAGTTTATACCCTAACACTCGCCATCCTGCTCATTCCTATAGAACTCATGGATAACCCAATGAGTAGACATCAGGCTCAACTCTTAGTCATTGTATGGGACCACATCTCTTTCTAAAGAAATTACGATTCTGAATGGATGTCAAATGCATGGCGCATCAAGACCAAGGGGGTGACTGACGAAGAATAACTCATTTTTTAGTTGATGTACTTGCGTCGAGCATCTACACAAATCTGGTAGACTGTAATCGGCAACTGCTAATTTACCTCTCACGGGTCGCCACGCACTGTATCTCAGCAAAGGAACGCAGAAGCCGTTATACGCATATCTGCTCCGATAGAACCTCGGAGAATGAAAAGCAACGGCGATGTAAGACAGCGGTATGACAAGAGCTTCAGAAGTGACATCATCAGCCCCCAAACGCCCCAAACCCGCCTTTGCTTAAGACCACTTTCATATGGTCGGACAACAAAGCGCCACGCATGGCTCCTCGCCCGCCATCACGTCCTTAAATACCCCCTCCAACCCCTTTCTCACTCTCCACCAGGAACGATTCTTCCTCTAAATTCCACAATGCCACTAAACGGCACGCCGGATTAGTGCGCGCTCACCTGGTCCTCCCGGGGACAGAGACAGTAGACAGGCTGTTCCATAACCCTTCATCATCCTGAGTGCCTTATAAACCAACCTTAAAGTAAGGACCATTCGAGCATTTTCGAGATTCTTTTTTCTGGTGCCACCCATTCATTTTTCGAACGGACTAACTAGAAATAGATTGGAATGAGACACCCTGAATTTTACTGTTCCTCATCACAGCAGTGAAACCTTGTACGACCCGAGCCTCAGGACCCCCCCCTTATAGCCCAATTGCTCCATTGCTCTTCAAGCCTAAACTCGCTGAGCTCATTCAAGTGGCAAAAATCCTTGTCAGCCCTATGCACAGACTGCCGTTTATTGGAAAGATGCCAAAAGCGTATTAAAGCTATCTCTTCGTTTGACCTCCCCCCCTGCTTCTCCTCCCTGCTCGAATTCCCCTATTCTCTATCTCCTCTGAAACAGTGGAGATGAAGAGTGGTGGAGCGTGGTTGAGCATAAAGCATTCTTCATTTCCCACTAGTCGAAATGCGATTCCCAATGATGAGTCAATTCAACAGCCACTGTCTTCATGGCTCCAGAATGTTTTTATTATGGTGCGCCTCTCCGCCTGAGTTTTTCAGATGGGCACGTGATGATAGCGACGAGACCAGAGCCCGGTGTCAGATTCCCTCGAATAGGTCATGTTGCTCTGTGTGAATAGAAGGAGGGTGGAAAGATGGTATCAAATGAAATCCCTGGGACTACGGCATAAGAGGCTTGCGTAGGAAGTTCAAAATTCACGCTAAACTTCCACCCACTGCCTCCCCTCCCCGCTCTAACGTATGGAGTTTGACGGATGGTTTGGAGGGGCTATTGGGGACTAATAATTCAAGACACTACGAACCATAAAAAATTTTCGAAATAGAGGCAATTCCTCGACACATGGCTGAATCCTGAGATGTCGCGATTCAGTCTCTCATCCTCACAGGTCACTAGAAGTAGTCACCACTCATTTGCTCGAACAGTCCAGGACTCAATCCCAGCCACGGAGAGAGCGTAAGCCAATGTATAAGCATAAACCTCAGTCGAAGCCTAAACTCAAGCGTAACTTTGGGCTTCAATGTTGACGCAAGCTTGGTGACCCTAACTAAATAGAGAACTATACGTCCCCGAATCTTGGCGGAGTCAAAGAGGCCCAATTAGCAAAAAAAAAAAAACTCACACTTTCGCTCGATAAAAACCATAAGATGCTGACCGCCTTCCGTCGTCTTTCGTTCTACTTACTAGACTCATTCCTTACACTGTTGTATAATGAAACCAAATACTATTATTCCATTCAACAATGTTATTCAAATACACAGCCAATCTTGAATGTGACACCACGTTTTGAGTTGAATTGCTAACTATAATGACATATGGATCAGGCGTGGTCTCAATGGTACGATTGAAATTTTCAGCACAATTAGTGCTGCGTCGGACGAGTCGAAGTGATCCGCAATTTGGGGCACTATTAGCTGCCGGCCGGGGGGGGGGGGGGGCGACTGGGCGCCAGCTACCTGTGGGCGAGACGCGCCGTACATGTCCATAACGGTGCAAAAGATAGGCGGAAGGGAGGAAGGTGATTTTAGATAAAATGTGATTATTCATTCATTATTACTACTTTTCAATCTTCTGACTGTGAACAAATCAAAGTAAAATTGATGTTCATATTTATTATTATTACTCTTACTATTATTATTATTATTATTACCATTGTTATAATTATTCATTATTATTATGTTAGTAGTCCTCAACTCCTTAACACCCCACTTGCACCTGATACCTTTGAGTGACCCGCTTAGCGTTTAGGTAGTCAAGGAAATCTTCATACCTCTCATATGCCTCGTGATGACGGGGTACAGGGGATTCTACAGGGCTGGGATTCTGTGAGAAGAAATGGCAAAGTTCGATAGTTCCTAAATTGATCTCCTTTTGGACACACATGGCTTTTTTTTACAGATTCGACGAAGTTTACCCACCCCGATCAAATTGCTTCGTGTTGTAGAAGAATGTCTAGATACATAACTAAGAAGTCTATATAGTTGCTTGCGGGATTTACACATATTTTGGATTTTTTGTGTTCGCTCACTGATTTTCCTAACTAAGCTAAAACGTATTCTGGCTAATAATGATAATGAATAATAATAACAATGATAATAGTAAGCAGTAATAGTAGTAATAGTAATAGTAATAATATTAAATATGGACATCAATTTCATTTTGGTTTGCTCACAGGAGTCAGAAGATTGAAAAGTAGTAATAATGAAGGAATAATCACATTTTTTCTAAAATCACCTTTTTCCTTTCCGAAATCCGCCAATCTTTTGCACCGTTATGGACATGTACGGCGCGTCTCGCCCACAGGTAGCTGGCGCCTAGTCGCGAGGCAGCACTAATTAGGTGCCAAAATTTGAGGTCACTTCGCACCTCGTCGCGACGCAGCACTAATTAGGTGCTGAAATTTCCAATCGTACCACTTGAGACACACCCTGGATCATCACATTATAAACTTACCACATAAGACATGCTGTAAGACGTAATGAGATTTCCTCCAGCCGATAAGCCACGGATCAGGACCATATCCCATAGAACTTCAGATAACTCTAAAAATAAAGCGAATCACTTTCAGCAACTGTTCGGACACATTCGTACTTCCTTTTTATTCGGTTACTTTGGGCTGATAATATTAGGTACCGGATATCTTAATGTCGTTTTTTCACCAAGAGTATTGGACCAGCAATATTTCAGTTCAAAACCCGGGGAGGGAGTTAGTTTAATCATAAAATGACTTACTAGGATCCCCTCATCTAACAGTTAGAGTGGCAACCTTGCACGATCCAAGCTCGGAATTTTTTGAGTTAAAAAGTAGAGGCAGGTCGGTTTTGACATCCTCTGATAAATCATCCCTGTTACTTGCTTAAAAGTAAGGCCTGGACAAAGTAAGTGTACAGCTGGTTAGCGTAGGGTCTGCATTGCACGACAGAAAAATTAGAACTTATCAGCCTAAGCGGGCAGTTTTTTATGGAGACTTTTTTGCAACATAGGGTCAAAAACGCACCCTTTTTGAGCGCGCGTGAGGGGCAGGTGAACACATTTATCAGAATATCTTGCGGAATCAAATCCATAGGAATGTTTGCGCATCATCATTCCATCAGAGTGAAAGTATCCTACCATTTCAGCACAAGTCTGGTGCAGCCCCTTCTCAGCTGGCTTAACTAGGGCCATCTTTTTGAAGACGATTGCCGGCATCCTTTCAAAAACTTCACTGTCTTTTAGGAAACCTGAGGAGAACCGTTGAGCATTCCAAACGGTAGTATTCCTTCCAACAAAAGCAATGTTAGTTTGGTTGGCGGATCTGTAGCTCCCAGCCCGACTTTGATGGCATTTGGTACACACATACGAATTTGCGCAATGAACCCAGGAAATTTTCAGAAAAAGGTATAAAAATTGGGGGAGAGATAAATTGTAAAGTAACAATAGGGACTAATAAGCAACATGTTACGTAGTATTAATAAGCAAAGAGAACGTTCTGAGAAACTGATTTTTCATGGTAATTGGCCCCGAAACATCCTGAACTCAGAAAAACGACATTAAGATATCCGGTACCTAATAGAACCGTATGGCTTCATAATGCTATGCTGATCAACAGTCATGCTTATCCAACACGCCACATTCATGCTTTTCACATCAGCTTTCTCAAAGAGCCCAAAACGCGCGCTAAGCTAATTCTTCGCCTGAAAAGCTCGCCTCCATTACCCAGAAAAACGCATACCCTTAGCCCTAGCCTCATGAGCCATAGCAAATAAAGACGAACATAATGTTTATGGCGACCTTGTTTCCGGAGATTCCTTAGAACAACTTCTCTACGTAAAAGAACACACTATCCGAAACCTTCTCCACACGTCAAGCAAGGGAACAACTTCGCCCCTGTTCCGAGAAAACGCTTTACAACCGGGTTAACCCATTCCAGACCAGATGTGCTTGCATCACCATACATTTTTGAGGTTTCCCTTGTCAATTACCGAGCTCTATAAATCATTTTATTAAATTATTAACTTATGATATTTTACGTCTCCGAAGACAAGATTACATCGTGGAACGTCTCTGAAAAGCAATTCTGGCATCCGTGGAATGTAGAAAAGTACTTATGAATCAGACATAGCGATTCTCCAATATGTGGCCGTGTGATACACATGTGCACCACGGGGTCAAGTTAACACACAAATTAACACAACCCCAACTACAACTAATGTTAAACTTTCCTATGGCGAATCATGGAGGACGATCTTTAAAAAATGGAACACAACTCCTTTCGATGGATGGCCACATCTAAAGGAGAAAAGCTCAAGTTTCCCTGTTCATCGCGACTTTGCCCCTCAGAAATCGTATCGCATTGCAGATTTTGCATTCTAGTCAGTGTAAAACATTTTTGCACTCACAATCCGGCCAACTTCAATATTTTGTTCATGCAGCTGCCCAATGACACTTCAATTCTTGGCCACTAAGAAAAGCAAAAAGAATGGAAGTGAAACATACGAGCATGAGCAAGGCTAAGAGCCCATAATCGAAGATAGGACGCTGTATGAGAGACACAACCCAAGACGAATTCAATTGAATGAATAGCTTGATGCAAAAACTCGTCCATTACTGAGTGTTCGTGCAAATAGCGGTCGATGGCCAGCAGATGTTCTGAGTCATCCTAGAAAAAAAAACCTCGCTAACAGCTCTAATCGGCAAATAAAATCTTCTCACGACAAAAAAAAACACAAGGATTCTGAGCCTTTCGAAAATGTTGTTGGATCAACTTTTCCCACTTCTATTAAAAAAGGAACCCTTCAAAGCTACGTTTCAGGTCTCATGCCATTTGTGATCTACAGAAAGCGGCACACACAACAATTCCGTAGAGGAAATAATTAATGTTCAATGAATTTTGATATGAGTCGCAGAAATGGTCACACAAGTGAGCTGAAGAACCCTTTAATCTTATTATCTTATTTTATCTTACTTAAAGCAACATCCTCAGCAGAAGTCGTGTCGAAGAATCTATTCAGTGGGTGGGATAGAGTAGCCACGAGTATCACAGATGTGCCGTTGTCGCGGCTCGAAAGTGCGCGACAATGGCGCTAGGGTCTTACAAAGTCAGCTTTGGCGACTAATCTTAGCATTTGGACGAGTTACGTCGCGCACATCCCAACACAACGTGGATTACGGCGTAGCGGCTAATTCAAATACGCGCGGGTTAGTTGAGCCGTGGAGCAGGCAAGTTCCGTACAACTCGTCTGGCCCCGCCCCTTCCTCGTTCGAGGCGAATCCTT